CAAGACAATGAGTTCACTGTGCTCAAATGGCCTCCACGGTCACCAAATCTCAATTAAATAGAGCACCTTTGGCTCGTGGTGGAATGAGAGATTCGCATCATGGATGTGAAGTCGACAAATCTGCAACAACTGAGTGATGCTATCATGTCAATATGGACCAAAATCTCAGGAAAAGTTCCAGAACCCTGTTGAATGTATGCCACCAAGGATTAAGGCAGTTCCGTAGGCAAATAGGGGGTCCAACTCGTTAATAGTAAGGTGTACCTAATAAAGTGGCTGGTGAGTGTATATGAGGTTACACTCTAAAAATGAAATGCTATTATCAAGAAAGCTCAACAGTCACTAATACAAAATCATCAGACCAACTTTCCCCCCTTCTACAGGATATTGGTAATCCAAAACCCAAGAAAAAGAAAATAATCAAGAAAGGTAAAAAGAAAGGTAAGTGTTTGATTTCTAAATATATGTATCCAGTGTTAATAAACGTTACATACCATATTAAATTAATGCTTTTTTTTTTCAGTTTTCAGAAAACGCAAGTAAACCAATGGCAAAGAGACAATTGAATAAAAAAAAATTCTCTCCTGGTTCAAAATTGTTGTTTGGGATTCTTTGTGTAAGCCATTGATGTCAGTCCTGATCAAACTAGTTTGATTTTTATGCCAATTAGGTTTCTAATAAAATAAATAAATAAAATAAATAAATGAAGTGAGTGAGTGGTGTGTTTAAGCATGTTCTGTGGCAAACTGCTGATCCATTACATGGTTACAATTTAAGATTCCCAAATTGAGTATGAACATCCGTTACTTTTTCTCCCCCACCAGAACCTGTTGAGAACATAAGTGAATTTAAAACATGGTTGTTTAATTTCTGTGGCCTGATGAGTGAAATTAAAACATTAAAACTTTCATTGTTATCTTGAGCACAATTCAGGTTGGAACAATTTAAATTTTTCAAATGTTAATAGCAAAGTTCATCAAAAACAGTGAAAATGTACTCACTCTTACATCAGTCTAAACCACTTTCACTACATATTAATGGCCATTTCTTTATCTTTGCATCAAATTGGAAACAAATTGTAAAACCTCAACTTGGTTACAAAGAAAAGAACTATGAGAAATTAAAACAATTTCAAGGTGTATAACTGAGGGCAGGCATTAAAAAATGAGTTCCAGAGACATGCAATTCTAAAAACAAGAGTCAATTGAAAGAACGACAGTTAAAAGAGTAACAATTACAAGATGCAAATTGTGAGAAAGTTGTACTTGGAGGGGGGATTCAATCCAGAAACAAATTAGGAAAGAACTGCAAGAAAGTCACAATTTGGTTAACAGAAAGATAATGCTGAGAAATACAGCAACATTCTAATCCTGTTTACGTCAAACAACTATTCTTTTCTCAGAACTGTGACTTAAACCTTGCAATTTTGAGGAAAAATGTTCAACAACTGAGAAGCTACATCTAGTAAGTGTCAGAATTTGAAATGTAGCCTTGCAACTGTGAGAACATCAGTGAGGAGATAAAACTAATTGCAATTCCACGAAACATTCCTTGTTTTCTGAAGAAAAGGAAAGTCATAAAGATTTGTAGTGAAACTAAATGAGTGAACATTTTTGGAAGAACTATTCCTTATGTTGGCATAAAAGACTTAACTGTTCACTCCAAAATAAAAAAATTGTCATTCTCCCTTGACATGTTTCTATTGAAAACAAATCAGCCAATTGGTTACAATAGCCATTGGTACTTTTTCTTAATGTAAATTTCAATGACTTTCCAACATTTTTCAAAATATCTCGTTTTCGTCATGAAAAATAAAAACAGCGTTTTTACTTTAAATTCTCACAAATAAAAGGTACGAAGGCTGTCACACATTTGTACTTGAAAGGTCCATAGTGGTACCTCAAAAAAAAAAAAAAAAAAAAATATATATATATATATATATATATATATATATATAAAATGTATATATCAGTACCTACAAATTTTAAGAGAAACACTTTTGTACTTTTTAGTTACTAGTACGTACTCGAGGTATTACGGTTTTTTCCAATTGTTTACACACATTTTCTGTAGGCAGGTCTCATATTGTCAGAACTCTACACACAAATCACAAAACACACACACATTGGGCAAAACTCTTAAATTCTTCTGCAAAATGAAACTCTTATGTTCAAAACAATGTGATTTCTTCTCAAATGGTATTTTGTTTTCAAATGACACACACAAGCCATCAGAACAATAGACAATAAGAACAGTTGAACACTAATGTAAAACACAATGACCATTCATCATAATGACTTACTGTCAGCCTTTTTTGTTCAGTGTTACAATTACTACAGACAGACAGTACATAGGCCTACAGAAGTGCACTGTAAAATATTTTAAAATATTGTTTTATACAAAAGACATAAATACGAAATACATTTTACTGTATTTCCCCCACAAAAACTGTGTACACAGTATTATGATCCAGATTCCAATTATGATCCAGATGAGCTCTGATTTCTAAATTGAAATTCTGAGACAAGTGTTTTCTCATGTGATGAGTTATATGCTAGATAGGGCAACTGACTTTACAATTGTGAATGACAGTGTGTTTCTTGTGAAAACAAAAGATTTTCTGCATGAAACTTGTGTAAAATGCAGAGAATTGTGTGTAGTGTTTTGGAAAAAGTGTGTTGTAAACCTGCAATTTGAGTGTAAAGCAGGAATTGTGCTTGTAGTTTAGCAGAATTGGTTCAAGGGGTTGGTGCATCAGTCACATGTTGTAGAAATTGTGTCTGTAGTACAAGTAATTGAGTGTAAACAACTAAGAAAAACTGTAATTTGGACATTTAAGGTACAAATGTGTACTTTTTGAAATAGTACCACCCCAGTGACAGCTCACGAACCTTTATTTCTGTGAGTGTAAGAAAATCGTCAAATTCCCTGACTAAAAAGCTGAATTTTTATTACCTATAATTAATAAAACAGGTAACAGTTCAGCAGTTCTACCAGATTGCTTACTTTAAGACAGAATCGAGCTAATAGCTCAAAATTTACAGAAGCTAGCAATTTTATTAATGGCAGCAGATTTTTTTTTATTAACTGCCCACAATTTTCCAGTACAATGTTCAGTTATATATTAAACATTATATTCATCTATATAAAAATTGCTCATCTGGCGTGTAATAAACACAACTTGCCAAAATTGTGACACGCAATGAACATTCAACCCCAGCAAAACACATGAAATGCCGCCAAGTGAGAAAAGGCACTGCATTTTAGTCTCACAAAATCCAAAGAGTCTGGGTGAGCACTGAGCATACCAAAATCTGCAAGGTACAGCCTGGTGACTGCTTTTGATTAAGAAGGGAAAGGAAAAAAAATACCTAGCAATAGGCAAAACATCATAAAACGGATGAGAGAAAGGAAAAAAGTATTAAAAAGTTAAATGACCAACAAAAACACCTATATATACACACCATATTCCTTAACTTAGACAAACTATATATACACACACATGCATATATATATATATATATATACACACACACACACACACAGTGTACACCGCAGTTTGAAAATGAACATTTTTATCCATTTCTCAGTGAATATGTATTTTGGTGTTTCATTTATTAGACAGATTTATTTATTAACACAATATTTTAGTCACCAAACATTCTTAGAAATGAAAAGAGAAAACAATTAAATTTAAGCAAAATATATAAATAAATTTTTACTAATTTTTTTTCTTTTTTTGCTTCTCATGAATGATTTTTCTTTTTTATTGTGTAATTAATATTTTTCTATAACATAAATTTGGGTGTACTATTTTTGGACCGTTATCGTTAAGTTATTTTGTAAGATAAGTTCCAGATTTGGTTTCAGTAATGCATATGCACAAATATAATATTGTATAGCTTCCTATAAAACATATTAATTTAACAGATGAGCACTGTATATATACAGATACACACAGCATTAAATAAAAATCTGACTTCCAATGTCTGAAATAGATCTAAAATTCAATGACATTGCAGAAATTCCATGACCCGTGGGAATCTTGTAAGAAACGCATAGGTTTGGAACAACCTGAGTGGCAGAATGTTTTTAATTTAGGATAGTTCCCCCAAACATGAAAATTTAATAATTCACAAAAGGTTCCATGAGTTTACTTTTTGCTAAAACCAAAAAGATTTAGAAAAACCTTAAAAACCTGTAACCATTGACTTTCATATTAGGAAAAATGTATACTATTACTATTTATAATTTCCAGTTTTTTTCCAAAATAACTTTGAAAAGAAACTGCTACAGGTGTGTGACAATTTAATCCTTTTACAAACTGACAGGACCACCATGACTTTCGACCATCGCATTAGCTTTCATTCTAAAATGTGAGAATAAGCCTTCAACTTAGTTCCCCCCAAAAATTTACTCGAGTGGTTTCATACCTTTATGGGTTTCCTTATTCTCCAATTCAAAAAAAAAAAAAAAAAAAGTTATTTTGAAAAACGTTAAAACCTGTAACTTTTGATTTTCATAGTTCATTTATTTTCTTGTCGGCTTAGTCCCTTTATTAATCCGGGGTCACCACAGCGGAATGAACCGCCAACTTATCCAGCTAGTTTTTACGCAGCGGATGCCCTTCCTGCCGCAACCCATCTCTGGGAAACATCCACACACATTAATTTAAACACACACATACTACGGACAATTTTAGCCAACCCAATTCACCTGTACCGCATGTCTCTGGACTGTGGGGGAAACCGGAGCACCCGGAGATTTTCATAGTAGTAAAACAAATTCTACAAAATAACTTTCGAAAGCAACTGCAACAGGTTTGTGACAAATGAAGGCCAGTAAATGACAAAGTTCAGTTTTGCATGAACAATCCCTTTACAAACTGACAGGACCACCATGACTTTTGACCATCGCATTAGCTTTCATTTTAAAATGGACCAAAAACAAGAGCATTTCAGTAATTGTGCACAAAGAAAGAAAAGACCAACCACTTTCAGTACTTTTTACACAATGTCTTTTATTTTTTTCTAATTACAGACTCATGGGTTAAAAATAAAATAAAAAAGGAAAACATCTTTTCTCTTTTCGTCCACACCCACTCCCCCATCTGAAAAAGAAAAATAAACAAACAGAAACGAGAAAACCCTCCTGCACACAAATCCCCTCCCCCCGCCCCAAATAAAAGCTCCGAAGCCCTTCTGTAAGTAACCGATACCTGCAGCCCACGCGTCAGTGCTCCATCGTGCCCTAACTGCACTGTGCACTGAGAAAGACAAGGCCCCAGAGGAAGCCTCCCCTTCCAAAAACCCCTTTCTGGTCCTGCCTCTCTCATTTCACTCGCAATTCAAGCAGCTGCTGCTCTACCATGGCTCTGCCTTCACGATATATAAACTTGTGTGGTGGTGAATGTGTGCGGTGTATGCGATCTGTCTGTCTGTCTGAATGCATGTGTGTTTGTGTGTGTGTTTAACATGGGCCTGGTGCATCTCCGTATATTGATGGCGGTAAAGCTCAGCGCTTGTTATTGTAATAAATGCCTCCCGCTGTGGGCCGGTGGTCGCCCTGGCCCCCTCCCCCGCCCCCCCACACCGAGAGGATGGGGTGAGTGTGCATAGCGGGAGCAGAAAGAGACAGAGAGGCCGCCGAGACGGTAGGGGGCGCCGCGGCCACCGGAGGAGGGGTTGTCAGCCTCCACTGGTCCTGAAACCTGAAACGACAAGAAGTGGTCTAATATACAGAGAGAGAGAGCAAGAGAGACAGAGAGAGAAGGGGGGAGGAGGAGGAGAAGCACAGGGGAAAAACACTGATGGGCAGGAATGGCGTATGGCAGCATGAGACGAAAGAAAATCAAAATGAAGAACAGAAAAGATCTGTGAGTTCAGGCCATGCCATCTTACAATAGTCGTATGATGTGGAAGATGGTTTGAGAACAGTAAACATTATTAAAGAAAAGCTTAACACCAAAGCCGAACTCTAAACCGCGTAACGCAGGTGAAGGAGGTCAAATCCGAGTGAGGGATGAACAGGAAAAGAAACCAGCGCTGGGAGGGGGGGGAAAGGGGTTCCAGAGAGCATAGACAATAGAAAATGTGTTCTTCGAATAGCACAACTTGGTGAAAACAACAACATTCTTGCTATTAAATCGTTCACATGTTCACGTTACAATAATTAAAAGAAAAAACAAAACAAAAAGTTAACATTTTTTTTTCTGTTTGCCCTTCGAGTGCAAACATAAAGAGGGGCTGTTTGGTGAGAGAAAAATCACAGCCAGACAAAAAGGACACACATCTGCAGCCTGAGATTACATCACTTTCTCAAATTGAAACAAATGCCACCAAATCTCCCAGACGGCCATATTGTACCTTACCAGGGCGATCGCAACACCTCCTCACACGCACGCGCACACACAATCGCACACTGCGGCCAGTCAGTCTGTCTTTCCAGGAGATGCTCTCTTTTTTTCTTTTTTTTTTTGTCTTTTTTTTCTTCTTTTTTTTCCTTCCTTTTTTGAGAGGGATCTTTTTTTCTTTTCTATAGAGGGGTACGGGATGATAGTAAGGGGGGATTTCATAGGGGGGGTGGGGGAGGTATTAGTAAGGGGAGTACCACGATGTTGTTCGCCCTCGGCCCCTGGAAAAGAGAGAGAAAAAGAGGGTGAGTTCTTTTTTTGTGGTTGGTTTAAGAAGATGGACACCAATTCAGTTTTGATTGGGGTATGAGTGAGTATCTGTGTGTCGCTTTAAGGGCCTTAGGGCACTCAAGTTTCAGGTATACACATAATTCCAAAAAAATTGACCCCTCTGATAGTGACTGATACAACCATGTGTCGATAAATAAAGGGAAGCTGAGGAAGATTCTCCAACAGCAGAATGTAAGTGTGTGTGTGTGTGTGTGATAAGTTAGATCAGGCTTTATTTAAGTGTCCAGTGTAGGGGAAAGTGAAAACACGCTCTCCCTCTTTCTCTCTCTCTGAACGGGGCGGCTCCTGTGGTCTCTGTAAAGGGAGAGATCCTGGGGACATGAACCCTCAAAAACACATGCACGCAGACACACAGCTCTCCACAGATGGACTGGGCCACAGAGCATACACACTGACTCACTCACACATATATACACATCAATAAATGCATGGACACCCATTCATTCAGGCAGCAAGAGACGCTCGTCATTCACACAAAAGCCTCTCCAGGAACAGCTTGTGCACTTTATTGCACTGCGTTATCGGTTGGATACTAAAACAGTCAATATCAGGCTGCAGGAATGAACCCTCCATTCTGGAAGTGAACACATTGTTATTCATGCGAGGGAATGAAAATGCAGTAAAAAAGGGTATTTCAGGAAAAGAAAAGAAAAAAAAACTTGCCTGATGTTAAACACACACTTGTCTAAGTTATTCAGAGCAGAGCTGGACAGAAGCTACATACTAAGGGTGTAACGGTACATTTAATTGAATTAAAAATATTGTAATAGACATTTTTGTACGACTGCATGATTAATTGAAAAAAGATCACAATCTCTATTCGACCACACAATTCTCTACGATTTAGCCAATTATTAGGGATGCACCGATACTGATACCAGTACTGGGTTGATACTTGGTTTAAAATACTCATACTCATACATGAAAGGCTGATACAACTCCTAAGTAATTCACTGTTAAAATGGATGTGGTGTGTGATTTGTCCTACCTGACTACAATGTCTTAATGTATTATATATTAACAGCTTAGTCCTTATAAACGATCCATTTATAAAATACATTAACGAATCTATAGGCTACTTACAAATAAAACCGAATATGAGATAGGACCCTTTCATAATGATAATTTTGTCAATTTTGGTTATGTCGACACCTGCTGAGCTCTCACATGCATATTTTTAATGAAACAAAGAAAAATGCAATGAATTTTTTTTGTTTTCATTTAATTACTAATAATATCATTATTAGGCGACGCAGCATTACATGACATCGACTCTAATTGAGTTTTAAAAGATATCCTACAGATAGACCTTTTGGCTCAAAGATATTTATGCCTGTTAATTTCACTGCAGTATTTTGACAGATTTCGCAAAGGCTTCAACTATTCAGCTGGTACCAGCCTCAGGTTTGTGACTTGACTTGTGTGGCATCTGTATCGATATCTGGATGACTGCGAGAGATCAGACCTCAGATTCGATGTGTGGCTGCATGTCAGTTACTTACTTTGCAATTTTTGAATATTGGCTCATCTAAATTAACTTTTCATTCAATTAAAAGCCAAAATATTGCCAGACAAACTTTTAGTTTTGGAAGAGAGCGGCTTCAGTGATAAAAGATGCACACGCATGCACGTGCACGCACACACACACACACACGATACACTCTTGTAGGCCTATTCATTATTGATTGTTTAACATTAAACACATAATAATAAAGAGCAAAAAAAAAAGAGCAACTGAACTTTAGAAAAAGCTATAACTGCGGTTGCGGCGATGGTTGCTGCAGAGAAACATTTTTTGTTTTTTCTGCAGTTGGCTTGTCAGTGGGGCAGCATTGCTAAATCACTTTTGTTTTAATAAAAATTTTTTTTATTATTTGACATTGTGAGATGACGGTAGCGTGATTTTTGAAATGAGAGTATGTGTTGCATATTTATGGCTATTGATCTTATCTACCCGCGACCCACCCATAGTTAAACCAAGTAGCCAACTTTGATTACCTGACCTGCGGATTAATGGCAGAACTTGTGAATAGGAATGAATTGCGCATAACAGGGTTTTATGCGTCCACAATATGCAATGTCAAGAGAGTGAATCCATAAGGTAATGTACACCGCACACACTTTGTGTAATGTTTGAAGTTGTGGACACATGTCAGCACAAGGATAACTCATCCTTCAAATGTCCATGCTTAGTCGTTAACAGATAAGGTCAATGAATTTCCAGGGTTATCAACAATGTGTATATTTTTGGCTTGAAACAGCCTTCTGTTAAAGATTTGTGTTCATCCCTACTACAGGCAAAAAAAAACAAACAAACAAACAAACGAAGTGCACTTTCATTAACACCAAATCTATGAAGTATCGGTACTCTGTATCGGGTCTACACAAATTAAAACACTTGTACAGGTTTGTAAAGTGGTATCGGTTCATCCTTACCAATTATTTTTCAAGTTCGGGAGAAACATAAAGGCGGTCGCATAAGTCTTCACATAGTTTTACATGTGTTGCTTAGCAACATGAACAGCCCCAAAGAGTGTTGAAAGAGTCATATACTGTATTTATACGGAATTTATACTGAATTTAAATGATTATATCGCATTTTAGAGTTATGCTTACTACAAGCATTTGATATACATTTTCTTTCACAGTGAACACCAAGTATTGAGCATGAGAATAAATGTTTAACAATGCCAATATAACTACTCTAGCCTATGTAACGTTGAATATAATGCAGGAGGGAATCCGATAATGACAAATGTCTTACTTTGAAATCATGGTCTAATAATGTTGTCAATGACAGATTGTAAGTTTATATCTTAAGCATAATGCAACTTGAGATATTTCAATAGTTGTATTATGATGTAATCCATTTACTGTGCATTAAAAAGCAGGACAAATTTAAAGTTTAAGTCCACCAGTCAAAGTCTATACAAAATTTACCATTTTAACCAATAGTAGATCTACACAAAGGCCTAATATTGTTATTGTTGTTTTACATTGTTTGAGAATAACAATAATAATAGCCTACTCATATTTATCTTTATTTTACATCTACAAATCATGAGAAAATCCTGATCTTCATTTTAAGCAAAAAACTAAATAAAATTGTGATTCATTTTAGCCAAAATCGTGCAGCCCTACTTTAGTATGAAGAAAGCTGATTTTGAAACCTTGTGTTTTACATAGATATTAACTTTACAATCAACATTGACTTTATTTTCCAAGACTGATCTTTTCTTTAACAGTTTCATCTGAAAAATAGGTATACAGCATTTAACAATGACAAGAAGCTTTTATATATTCTTTTCTTATTATTAACATCTTTTTAGAATTCGAGAATAAATGCTTGTTTGAAGCTTTTCATGTGGCATGACAATCGCTGTGTAGAAGTCACAACAACGCTAAAGTGAAAGTAATCATTCCTTGCTTTTCACTACTAGTTAGAGCACAAATACTTGGGGCTGTGCAATTAATCGAAAATCCGATTTTGGCTTCAAACGATTATGAAAAAGCATTAATCGAGATAAACGATTATTGCATCATATACCGCCCCCTTTCCAGCTGTACACATTTGTTGCTCTTAAAAGCGCGAAAGACCGCACGCTTGTGTGTGTGCGGCGCGCACACACAGAAGCATGCGACCGGTCAGCATTCGATCTCATTCGCACACAGAGTTGAGCAGAGGAGCACTGACATCTAAAGTCATCTTAACGCGAGCGCTTTAATGGTCAAATAGGTGTCAAAACACGGTGTTCAGTGATTATTCTTATTAACCCTCATTTGGGTAATAAACAAACGAGTAGAGAATCAAAAGACAAGTGAAAGAGAAACCATTAAAGAGACAGTGCGAAATATCCATGCTGCCGCCTGTTTTTAATCAAACAAACAACAAGAAGAAAATCCCTCACTACTATTGACTGAAAAATTTTTGTAGCTAAAGTGTTTTTCTTAGGGGGAAGATGCTTAAATAACAGTTTATTTCATATTTCTATTCTATTGTATTTATTTCTCTTTCCTTTGCAGGGTGGAAAATGACTATGTATACAGTTGAAGTCAGAATTATTAGCCCTCCTGAATATTAGCAATCCTTTCCTGCCCAAATTTTTTTTTTTACTTCTTTCTGAACATAATAGTTGATATCTTATTGCTAATTACTGATTTCTTTTATCTTTGCCATGATGATAGCACATAAAATTTGACTAGATATTTTTCAAAATACAAGCATTCAGATTAAAGTGCAATTTAAGGCTTAATTAGATTAATTAGGCAAGTAATTGTATAACAGTGGTTTCTTTTGCAGACAATCAAAAATATATTGCTTAAGGGGGCTAACAATATTGACCTTTTAAAATATTTAAACCTGCTTTTATTCTAGCTAAAATAAAACAAATAAGCCTAGAAGAAAAAATATTAGAGGAAATACTGTTAAAATTCCTTGCTCTGTTAAACATAAATTGAGAAATATTTATTAAAAAAAAATCTCAGGAAAAAAATCTCTATTAATTTTGACTTGAATTAATAATCGTTTTGAATAATCATGATTACAATTATGACCAAAATCATCGTGATTAGGATTTTTCCCAAAACCGAGCAGCCCTACACTGAACAACTCAAGTGCCTGTAATTGCTCAATCAGTGTCTCAACCATGGAAAGATGCTAATAAAACAGTTTATAAACAAAGGGTCTCATTCACTAATAATTACATATTTTTTTCATATTTACAGCCCATTCAAACTTCAAGAAAACATGCGTGTACACACATGAGCTTTTTCTTAAATTTGGAATCTTATGCACCCGCATAAACAAGGTTGGTAATTTGCATAATACAAGCCCAAACCATCACCATATAATAGCTTTCTGCAAAACGAGTACTCATCCAAAGACAATTATGGCACAGAAACAAAAGACAAAAAATGTCAAAGTTGAAGGTCAGGAACAACCTGCCATTTTAAAAAGTCGCATAAATCATTAGAGTAGGGTTGGCCCGATAGACGATGTTATCGTCCATCGCCGATGGTTGACAGACACCACGATGCTGAGCCAGCATCACGATCACGAAACCATTATTTTTGTGTACCGTTACTCGCCTACTACATAATTGATCTTGTTTGACAGTACGCTGACCCCACTGTCAGCTTTTGGGGTTTGGGATTAAACCTCAATTTGAAAAGTATTTCCCCAGCTCTACTTGAACAATAAAAGCCAAAGTGTGGCAGTGAATGCACAAAAGTTTCCAAAATAAACTGACGTGCAAGATTCTGATTCATAAATTCATTCACACTACCAGCTTTTAAAACACCACCAATGTGAAGGACTTTACATAAATGTGCTGCCTTCTTTCTTTAACAACGGTAAAATCTCTTCTGAAATGATAAATGAGAAGCTGCTGAGAAATTCTTTGATCATTGCGATATTAATGTTCGCACAAGCTCTGTAACCCATTAGTACTGCACTCACAGGTGACTTAATTCAAAAACGATATTTAATCAGTTATGACACTAGGGCTGGCCCGATAAGCTATATTATATTGAATTGCACAAAATTTTTTGTCAATAACAATAAGCTCTGGACTTTTTTTTTTTTTACTCTATATTGATCCAAAAGCCAATCACAGAGCAGAAATGTGCAACAAAGGACATCTAAAGAGTGTTGATATTGCCCTACTTTAAGGACCGTCTTTTTTTTTTTTTAACCTCATCATATTAGAGATGTATCAAATTTTTGGCTAATGTATCAGCTGAAAATGTTAAACCATTTAATGATCTGAAAGCATTGACAACTTATATCAAAATAAACATCGCTATCGTTCAATATAGAAAATATTTATAGAGATTGCATTTTGCCATATCACCTAGCCGTATATGATACCATATAATAAGATACGGTTAAAGCAAATTTGTAAATTATACCCTGAATAATGTCCAAGCTAAATTTGGCTAAAATGCAGACCAACCAATCATTTGGGTAAAATCGTTTAGTTTCCTTTTTTTTCTCATTGTGTATTACGCTGTGCCCTATAAACTACACGATGAGACAAGGTTCATGCAATCTGGCTGTCCACACCAGTCTTGACAATAGAAAAAACTGAAATACCAGAGCCACTCAGAAGCGCAGAATACAGCACTGTATTCCTAGTCTAATTCATATTGAACCTCTTTATCATTCTAAAAATTACATACTGAGTGACTGATATTTGTTGGAAAGAGTCAGTTATTCTAATTTTAAGATCTGAGGTTAACAATTTACAAATATTGAATAATGAGTCACAGAAAGAATACATTGCAATCATTTCTTATATGAAGCCCCTTTTAAAGCCAAGAGTAAAGCTACTGAATACTAAATTAGTTCAGAGGGCCTAACAGGACATCTTTTAGCACCTAGCAACACATAATAATAAGGTTATTAACTTGCAAATCACTGGTGTGTGTGAAGAATCATTCAATGCTCAGAATCTTACACTGCAGGAGAAAAATGGACAGGGAAGATGACGATGGCTTTGCATGTGTGTGTTTTAATAGTTTTTGCGATTCTTCCTCAGCAGTTTTCCTTCTTTTTAAAAATAGCGACACAGAGGTTTGTTGTGTACAGAGAGTGCAGACTACAAAAAAAAAGAAAGAAAAAAAGTGGTACCGTTCGCTCCTTTCCTCACACACACACACACACACACACACACACACACACACACACACACACACACACACACACACACACACACACACACACACACACACACACACACACACACACACACACACGTAGAATTAAACAGCAGCATGCATAGGTACAGGAGGCAGAATTACATTTCAGACCAGCACAGAACACTTTTAAAGTAATAACAAACATAACTGAAAAAAAAAAAAAAAAACTTACAAAAAAAAAGCAATAGTTTTAAAAGATTTCAAGAAACTGCATGCAGCTATGAAATTAACCTTTTTTGTTAATGTATTTTTTAAAGTTAATTTGTATTTGAAATGTCTTACAGGACACGAAGGGACGCAAATAAAAAAGAAAAATCAGTAGTACTTTAAAAAGTTCACAATTAATGAATTTATTTTAGATCATCCCTGATGCACACACTTTGACAGCAGCAGCACTCTCTGTCAGGATGGAGCCTATGTGTCAGTCACAGTCAAGCGTGCAGGCTGGCATGAAGCTCACCTGAAGGCCCGTCCTCTGCCTCTGGGGGGTGTGTAGCCACTGTAGTAACGCGCCCGGGATGAGAAGTTTCCTCCCCGTGAGCGGAAGCGGGCCCGAGGGAAACCGCGGTCTGTGGTGCTAATGCCAGGACGATTTGTTCTCTTGGCCCCAACCTGGAAATAAAAATATATGATGCCAATTTATTAAGTAAATGGAAAGAATATAGAACTGAATACATGCAAATTATATTTTCTGTTTGCAAAATTGACTTTAGAAAATAATCGATTTCAAAACTGGTCTTGACTATTGTGTCGAAATATATCCAGCTGCAGACCCACACACACAATCCTGGACACACGATCTACGCAGGGGGAAACCAAATATGGTTAATGATGAATCGGTCTCAATTTTTTTCTTGTTTAACAACAACTAACTCCTTAGGAGCATTATCGCCACCTACTGTATTTCACAAATATGGCGATCCAGACCGTCCTTGACTGTGAACAGTTTAGGGTTTTCCCATTTTCGTCATTATATTGTATAATGACTATTAAACTAATAAAACTATTCAATATTACTACTATTAAAGCAAATAAATACTATTCAATCGCTGGAGTAATATATATATATTAGGGATGGGAAGATTAACCGATATGTATCGATACGCGGTCATGCGCGTGCACGATGCGAGTGCATCGGTAGAGCAGCAGAGGATGAATGAAATTTTGGAAGCAAATCGAGATGCATCGGTTTTTGCGAGATGCATCGGTTTTTCCAAGATACAACTTATATTTTTAATATAGAATGTATTTTTTTATTTATTAACAAGTGTTGTCAACCTGTTTTTGGCGCATAATTTAATCGACCTACATAAAGTATGCATTAGCAACGGACTTGCGGATGTGTACACTTACACTACAACTCAGTGTGTCAGGTGTGCGGATGAAGCTAGTAGTGCGCCCTCAGAAACCGCGAGAAGCAAAACAAACATTTTATTTCTCACTGAGTTTTAAATCCAAAGTATGGCAACATTATGGATTCTGCAAAAAGGATGGATGACTTGACAGGACAGATGCAATTTGCAAAATGTGCCGCGCATCTGTAAAATACACGGGCAGTACGACTAATCTGATATCTCACTTGAAGCGGTGCCTCGGTGTTGTTGTGGAAGCATCTTCCAGTGTTCCTGCATCCCTGGCTTCCTGCTCTGCTTCAACTGTAGCTACCAGCTCCAAAAGTGGTGAGAAAAGCATTGAAAGTTTTCTCCATGCGCAACAGTTCTGCTCGCTCTACGCCAATAACGAATGCTATTGCATTGTTCATCTGCAAAGATATTCAGCCTAGTGTCACGGAGAACGATGGTTTTAATTACCTCCTGTTAATTTTTATTTATTTATATTTTTATTAGCCTGTTGTTTACAGTGATAGTGATGTCTCAAAGCAACATAACACTGCTAGTTCACGACCTTAAGTTTTGAATATTCAGTGGCAAAATATATCTTTGTAAAACTTGTTTTCATAGTTGAAAAGTTAAATCACAATTCTTGTTGTGCAATGGTAAACCTTTATGTTGAAAGAGTGCAAATATATACATTTATAATATATATTGCACTTATACATTCTGTTTATCTTGAAAATACCTAAATAATATGTGCTATAGGTTCTAAAATGGCCCTCTACTGTAAACTGACACTCTGGCTCTGAGAGAAAAGCCAGTTTGTAAAAAAAAGTCTTGGTTTTACTTGGTTAATAAATAATCAAACTCATTCAATGGCACAGCATCCTTTCTTACATCATCTTTCTTACATCAACTTGATCTAATAAGTTAGTGCTGAATTATAGCATTGTATCGTGATATGGGTGTAAATCGTATCGTGTTGCATCGCAATGTCACAAATGTATCGCTAATATATCGGATCGTATTCTTTGTATCGAGATGCGTATCGGATCGGCATTATAGCTTAGATGCCCAACCCTAATATATATATATATATATATATATATATATATATATTTAATATATATAGTAAAATATATATATATATATATATATATATATATATATACACATACATATATATATATATATATATATACATACACACACACACACACACACACACGCATGCATACGTTAATTAAAATGTAAAAAGTTTTTTATTACATATAAACATGTATTATAATCATTATAATGCAGTTTTTTTAAAACTTTAAAAAAAACCTTCATTATAATGAATCTATTATATAAATTAAAAATCCAATTTAGATTGTTTATATATATCTGAAAAATGTTTCAGCAAAGGCAAACAAGTATCTACTATACTGTCTCTGTCAGTAAAATAAAGACAGATCATCCATGATGACGGACAGAAAACTGTTCAGTCTATTATATTGAATGGCAATTGGAAACAATGGGCTCTATTTTGACGGTCCTTGCGCAAATAGCAGGGCGCAAACGTTTTCTAGGCGTGTCAGAATCCACTTTTGGTAATATAAGGATGGTAAAATCCGCTTTGTGCCGTGGCGCATGATCTAAAAGGGTTGAGCTTATTTTCTTAATGAGTTATAGGTGTGTTTTGAGAATAAATCAATCAGAATCTCATCTCCCATTTCCTTTAAGAGCCAGTTGCATCACACCATAATACATTTGCTATTTACATGACAGTGGAAGTGGAAACATTGAGCATTTCACTAGCAAGAAAACAGTTAAACAGAGCATCTACAGCGTGAGAATGAGAGATAAGGCGTCTCAATTTACTTTCACTTTCACTCTCGTTGATAGGGAAACCTTGTACGCACAGACATCAATTAGCCTATAATTAATTTAGTTTGTCAAGCACGAAGATTTGATTCAAAACTATTTCTAAATTCAGTTCTAATTTCCAGCAAACGAATAAATGAACAATAATAACGAAGTGTATTCAAAAACCTACAGTTATATCCTAATGCACATGCTATGCCCCATATGGTCTGAAACCTGACAGGTGGACAAATCTAAGCTTGTTTTTAATAAAACAAATATAAATATGGATATATTAAAATAATACTGCTAATAATGATAACATTATACAAAAGCAAATTGTTATGAATGAACTGAAAAGGCCTCCTGAGATGAAGGCATGAAGGCAGTGGTTTTTAAATTTACGTAGGCTACAAAATAATGTTTTGTAATATTTAAATCCTTTATAATTATATCCTTATATATATAAGTAAATATCTTTACAAATGAGAAATAATGAAAATATTAAGGATATATATATATATATATATCCTTAATATTTTCATTATTTCTCATTTGTAAATATATTTACTTATTGCTCGACATCTTGTGTGTATTAAGCAATGTGTAATAGCGAGGTGCATAACTAACGCGCTCTGCGCTGGACTTTAGACCAGCTTTGTTTTGGTCTATTAAAAAATCTATTATAGTTCCTTAAAATAGCAACGCACCAGCAATGCGCCTCAGAACGCCTTCCTTTTTAGACCAGAATGCGCTCAGATGGGCACACATCTGAGCGCAAATGCATTTGCTATTTAAAAAAGATGGCAGAAAACGTTAAAACAACTCTCGCGCCAAGCTGAAACTAGCAAACAATTGCGTCATGCCAGGTGTATGATAGGGCCCAATGTTCCCTATTCGCCTGTCTCATCACCATTTTTGTAAAATAGTATACACTATCGTGTTCACCATTTAACAATACATATAAAAATATATTGATGACGAGGTCCCAAAAAGTTGTTAGTAACATCAACATCCACCGTAATGATATATGGTTTTTCCCCTGCCTAGATTGTGTGTGCTGAACTATGTGTGCTAAACCGTGTGGGGGTCTGCAGCTGGACATTGTTGATTGTGTCAGGAAATGGTTATTCGACTAAACCTAAAAACTGCATTTTGGTCATTCAAAACAATGTTTTGTTTACCTGAAAATGGATTTCAAAGAGCAAGAATCTTAAAAATGCCATCACTTTGATGTAAACTACAAAAACTAATTTTTTTTTGTCTACTACAGAGTACCACATAACTATAATCAAATGTGTGCAGAGGCATAGTGATCCATAACAAAGAGACAAACATACGGTTTCATTTTTTGCAGACCAGCATCAATGACAATTAATATAAATAATATTCATAAATGCAAAGAAAAAAAACTTTCATTTTTTTTATAGTAAACAATCACATAAAATGTAGTCTTCGTAAAAATATGATGCTGCGTCTCACCTTAATCTGCCTTCCTCTAAATAAGGACTCATCCAGTGCCATGGCTGTCCTAACAGACTCCTTGTCTGCAAACTCTATATAAGCAAACCTGAAATGTGAAGACAGCAAATGATAATGTGAGGGGAGTCAAGATCATACAAAAAGAAAGTTTAAATAAAAAATAATGATAAATAAATCATACTTGAAGGAAATAAGCACTTATGGATGCCTATATAAAAAAACACTTTCAAAGATTAATAAAAGAACACCATGTGCAAAGTTGCTGTGATTAAAGCATTGCATCAAATGTTACCCCATGCAATAAGATAATGCTGACAAATTATTAATGGGAACAGCTTGAAAACGCTGTGCTCCAGAATAGTACAAAGCGAGAGAACAATTTCACACCTCAGAGTCCCAGGTCTACATATAAAGTGCAAAATCATGCCACATGAGAGAAAGAGTTTTGAATGCATTGCCATATCAGCTTCTCTGGCTATTTCATGGCAAAACCAGATCATAGCAAACAAATTTAGCACATTTTATAAGCATCACTTTTCTATAATAAAACATTGATGGCAATAATTCATACATAATAATAAGATATTAGAACAAACAGTTTAAGGATTATTTTTTTTTTACAACTGATGAAGGACTGACAATAAAAAAAATACATTTCATTTAATGTCTCTACAGATAAAAATCATTGTCTAAAAACTTTAAAAATAGGGCATTTCACAAGTACATGTTTAGGTTTGGTTTCTGTTGCAATACTGACATTTTGGGAGGTTTTCCTCTTTAAGTAAATGTCCATGAGTGAGTCTTGTATGTACAATACTGCAATCTCACCATGTCTTGAGTTAAAAAAAAAAAAAACAGTTTGATTTTCTTTCTATTACTGGCTGAATTATAAAAAGTTTATTTTCTGACCACTCATGCAATTTGTTAAAAATAAATCCTTTTATTTGTGGCTTTAAACCTGAAGGTGTGATTTTGCACTCTTTTGTTTTTCCAGTTAGGGCTGTTTTGGCAGCGGACTTTATGCCACTAACACCAGGCCATAATAATAACTCCAATCTCCCTACATATATTCTAAAGGCCAATTTATAATTCTAAACTTTATCAAATACATGTTGTAGGGGTCAGTGTAGCCTTCACACAGTGCCATATCCTTCATCATACTGACATAAATCTCACAAAAAAATTAATAAAATAAACAAAGTTGTATTTAATAATCTGTTCTTTGTTATGCTTTAAAAAAATATATTTTACAATAATATAGAGAATCTTCAGAAGTACCTCTATTATTTTAGTGGCTAACATTTAGTTTCGGTTTGAGTTAATGGATCAGAGCATTTTCTAAAAATACAGTCCTTATCCAGAGCAGATTCACAGAGAAGTGAATAAATAAATGTAAATTACTGAATAGGATAAGATGCAAAAGAATGAGAGTGCATTAATTACCCTTTGGGATGTCCTGTAAACTTATCACACAAGATAGTGACTCTGTTTACAGATCCACAGCCATGGAAATGTGCCTCCAACTCCTCAGCTGTAGCACCATAATCCACCTGTGAGAGACCAAACCTAAATCACCAGCAGTTCTATCATGTGACTGAATCATTATTAAAAGGCTGGGAAAATATCACAAAGTGGCCCAAATGTATAAAAAAGATTATTAACAAGTAGGTATGAGAATATTTGCCCATACATTTCCAACGTAAATAGACCTCCCGTCGGCTTCTATCTTCTCTTCAATGGACATAATGACAGGGCCAGCTGTAAAAAGGAAAAACATAAATAAATCAACCCTTTCTAATGCAACTCGTTCACCATAGACATTGGTGTGTGACATAATTAAACAAAATATTTTACTTTTTTTTTCGTTTTAGTAGTTTGACCTCAGTTCTTGTTGGAAAATAATTTGTGTAACGAATATTTTAGCACATCGAAAGTAATTTGATGAGGTGTCTTTGATTAAAAACATGGCAACGAATCAGAAATTGATCACAGACCCACAATATTCAATACATGCAATGCCATCATCCAATGTTTTCAAGGCTAAGTTTGCATCTGTGAATGTTGTTTTGATTAGAATAAAATTATTAAAAGCACAAAGATTGTACACATGAATAAAACATTCATAGAGCTGCATCTTATGAAAAACACCAAATAACGGGTGCTGCGGAGCTTCAGTTTGAGGAGAATGAAGCAGATTATATATATATATATATATATATATACACATATATATATATATATTGCAAAAAAGTAAAAAAAAAAAAAAAAAAACGTAAAAAAAAAAAACGTAAAAATGATTTAAGATTGGCACTGGTAAGAGAACATTCTACTTGACTAAGTTTTTTTATGAATACAACAAAACCTAAGATTTTCAATCTTGCACTTTGTGCAGTATGCTCCGCTTGGGTTATGAATGAGGTTTCACCTCAATTTACAAACAAAAAAGCAATGAGCAATAAATAAATATGTATTTATTAATGTCTTTTGAACGCTTAAATTTTATGCATAAAAGAAAATTCTCATTTAGATGAAAACAGATGGTCAAACAAGTCATCCTACAAGATGTCCACGATTTTCGTATGGCAAAAAAAGCCCATGTCAAAAATTAGGCATTTTGACATAGAAACAACTTGTACAACTATAGCATTTTCTCACAAGACATCCCCTATTAATTTAGTGCATCAAAATAGCATGCACACCAGTAAAACCAACAGATCACATCGACTGTCCTACTTTTTTTTTTTCTAGGGTCATGTTTGATCACATGAGTTTCTGTGAGATTGTGTGTAGAATTACCACTGTTAAATTATTACTACAATCAGCAATTGTGTGGTCTCATGTTCTGACCAAACCATCTAGCATTACCATATAAATAAAACCAATGAATCTGTCATTGTGCCCACAGTCCCCCATGACTTTAAAACCGATCAAGACCTGGGTCCAAGACGTAAGAAAAAAGCATGAAAAACTTTCAAAGCAAGTATATCATGGGTGTAGCCTAGAAATCACATTGCCTACTAGGTTATTGCTAAAATCTAGGTTACATTCCGTTTCAAGCCATATCTCTATTGACCTCAAACGGTCCAATGCCAGATATTCTTCTGCCGCTAATGCAGTCCTATTCATCAGCACTGTCTGTTCTGCAGTGCTCAGTTTGTCAGAATCTTCTGTCTCTTAATCCATTTAGCTTCACTTACCAGGTGGAGGACTGAGATTCATCTGTTTCTCCACCTCGTTCTGTAGCTCCTTCAGTTTCTCTGCCTCCTCCTCCATCTCTCTCACCCGGGCTTTAATTGCCTCCAGCTCCTGAAGAAGAAACAGTAATGTACATTTTACATACAATTTATCATTCACAAATATATTTTTTTCCTTTATTTTGCACAATTAGATCATGCCATTTAAAGGAATGGTTGACAGCCACGTTGGATCTATACCTGCATCAATATCATGTGCTCCTGCTAAAGCCATTTTGACATGCACAGGCGATTTCTTTCCCACAAGGCACAATCATTCTTTATTCTCAGCGGTAGACACAGCAAGCACATGCACTGTCACACGTGATTATGCACTGAGCTTTTTCAAACCATCATTTAGTGTCCAGTCAGCAAGACGCCCTAAACATGATGCCACCCGTGCATGCATTGTTGCACACTTTTGGTGTGTTCACGCACGCACGCACGCAAGTTTCAGCAATGCTGCATTGCAGGGCAGTGGGAGTCGCTACGGATCGCTCCTAAAGTAACACAGCATGCATGTGATGGCCCCCTTTCATGCAGTTAAAACAAGATGTTGCATGATCTAGCGTAAACGTCAATTAGAAGATATGGTATATTATACAATGGCTTATCACTGAAAATAGCACCAATGCATGATGAAATAAAGCAGACTTCCAGTCGGCATGCAAATGCATGACCTACTCTAGCTTCAAAAATGTAAAAGTGCATGGAGAGAAATGCAGCAGCCCTGCCCTAATGCACCATCCCAATCACAAAATCACCAATAAATGATGCAATACATCACGAGCGGCGTTTAATCAGTAAAGCACGTCGAATACAATGACAGCGATTCAAGTGCGCGTTTGTCTTTCAGCTCGAAGCAAAAACTGAAAATAAAACCATTTCTCGCCTTCTTAACATGTCACACACGTCGCATACAGATTTACTTCATCTCAGAAGCCAACAACAATCACGCGCAGTTTCCAACGCGACTTACTTTTCGCACTCCACAAATATTACTGATCAGAAAAGAGGCGTGTTTACCGTGAGCCTTCTGCTTCTTTGCGGATGGACCCACACTAGTGCGGCTAATGGCGGCCTGTCCTACCCTCGCCCCTGTCTCTTAAATCTCCCGTCTCGCATTTTTGCGATGAAGATTTTTTTCCCCCCACTAGGTCGACAGATCTGGCGCAGAGGAACCCAGACCAATGTTGCGCCAACATGGCGGCCAGCAGCACGCATGTTACTCACCCATTCTGCTCCATAGCGTGAGCCACAATGGCGGGCAAACTGACCTGGCAAAACCGGTTTCGCTATTATATGATTACGTGCTTTGTAGATTTACTTTAACATCAGAGGTTAGCTGGCGAAACGTATACGAATAGATGAAAACGTAGTTATTAAAGAGAGTAAGTTGCAGTAGGTCCTTCACTCACCGGATCTTCAATAGCGGCCTCCCCCTCGTCTAATCCCGGTTCTTCATCGCCAACGCCTGGGTCTTCAAGTTCTGAGTGACCCGGGTCTGAGTCCAGCAGAGACTCCTCTGCCAGTCCGTTACCAAACTCCGCCATCGCCTGATTCCCGGTGGTCCGACGCGCCTCGTGGCTGCACTACAGGCCGCGACTCTCACGGGGGGGAGCGAGAGAGAGAGAGGGGCAGGGGAGGGAATAAAAAAACGGCGGAAAGCGCCGCTCACTAAAGTTAAAATGGGGAATAAAAACCCGCCTTGCTTCTTCCGGCGCTCAAACGTGTCCCCCAGCAGAATAAACAAAACTATTTATCAAAACACAAACACCTTTCGCTCTGTCAGACTGTCGCTCTTACTACTCTATTTACATCAGAAGGCAAATTCAGAAAAGGAAATGTGTATTCTTCGCGAGCGCTCGTGTGCTCCAGAACAGAAATGGAAGCCGTAGGCGGGGATTCTGAGCACTGCAGGCGAACTCTCGAGAGGTGATTGAACGATTCTGCGTTTTAGACACACCCTCTTCATGTATGGAGAGCTGTCATTGGTGTGCTATTGAGATATTTCAATGCGCTAGCCGCTTAGCCTTTACAACAGCGACGGTGATTGGATGAAAACGGCGTCAGTCACGGCTCACAGACCACCTTTAGATTGCGCCGGATAATAACTTCTGTGCAATGTTGCCAAATCCGCACAATAGTACAAACTTGGATTTGCATGTTACGAAGTATTTTGAGTAATTAATCATTTCAAGGGAAGGAAATACAACTAACTGAAAAAAAGGTATAGACTGCTCTCTAATTCTAGAATATGCTAACAGTAACGTTACTGTGTGTCATTACACCATAAGGTGAATCTTGTCTTCTTTTCCAGAAAAGCTTATCTTTAGAACTAAAGATAAAATAGAGTCATATTACTTTTAAGTGAACTATCATTTTAAATTGTGGAAAGGCATATTAAAACCTTTTACAGTATTAAGACCCACCATGGGTCTTAAATTTGTCTATTTGGGTTTTTGTACAAGCATCATTTTTTCTAGAATTTTATCATTTTTAAATATCATGTATTTTAGCATTCTTATGTACTTGCTTTTATATTTTTAAGTGTACATTTTATGCAAAACGTAATTTTTAAGTGAGATCTGGCAACATAACCACACATGTGGAATCCAGCTATCTTTAATACAACCGAGGCAACTCAAACTGCATATTAATCTTACTACTATATGGCACATATATTGATATATCCGATGAGTACTTCTTAAATGTATTCCATTGATTATACCAGCACATCAATAAAACTAAAGCAGTGGTCGGTGATGCAAGACGTCTAACAAAATTCTTACTTTCTCATGTAACTCTGTACATAACAATCATTAAACAGTACAATCAATACACAACTGCAACATAAAATGTGAATATACCTGCATACGTGTAATTCACATGACAAGAAACTTCAATACATGAACTTCAGTTTATTTGTTTTCTGCATAAGAAAAAAGGAGAACCAACACAAAATGAAGGTACAAGTGAGGGGAAAACAAGCTTAATCAATAATCTAGTTTCATAACAAGACTGCCACCATTATTGTTCAATATTCATATCAATGGCATCTCTAAATTCTGAGATGCCATCAAAACCGTTATGAATCAATAATAATCAAAAGTGATGAAAGTACTGAAAAATAGTAAGTAGTACAGTTATAACAAGTGATAATCAAGTGTCAATGAAAAAGTGAAAAGATAATATAAAAGCATTTCTCCATACTCTACCAATATACTCTGAACAGTGCAACACCGTGTGATCCCACGTCCTGCAGCACTGCACTACAAACAACCCAGTCCATTTTCAGTTCATATGAGCTACAACTCAACACTAAGTTAAACAAAAAGACACCTTGCATTTGCTGGGATATCGTGAAAAAAACTGAAACGTTTCAATGAACTTCAAGTGTTCCAAGTTGAGTTGTCTGAAATGCATTTATCTGTAGCTCATGCTTAAATCCTGGACTAGCTCAAAGTGCCAAGGCATGGGAGCTCCTTTGCGGCTTGCATTACGAACACTTCCAATCAAGATTGCTTTTTGGTTTCTTTACTGAGACAAAGCAAGAGAAAGAATAACTTTGGAATATCATTTTCTTAATATAGTTCATTAAAAAATCTTTTTTAGTTTTGCATTTTGTTAAAGTATTAATAGTATCAATAATATAATACAAAATAAATCAAAAAGGAAAAAATCGTCTTTAGTATTTCACGTCCTTCAAATTGCACCTCCTGTTGCCCTGATGAAAAGTTTCCCGGTCCACTAAAGCACCCTGTCTTCTCTCCTGGTGGGTTTTAAGGAAAATACTCAGTATGTTGCAACACAAAATGCTCCATGAAAGAACAAGAAAGCAAAAGATGACAACTCTCTCCCATAACTCTAAAATGCTTTTAGCATAAATAAATGACTTTTGTGTTTCGTTCATAAAGATAAGCTGGAGTTACTCCCTAAAAATTCTAACCAAACGGTTTATCCGGAGGGTAAAAGGAATATAATTTCGATGTTCCCACTAATCCATATAAAATTGTGTTAAGTACAGACTTGACTTTGGCTTCGTGCGCAGCGGCTGGGTCTGATCCATTTTTTTGTCTGTTTAACGATGTGCAATGCAAACCCTTTAAAAATAACATTAAAAGCTGATTAATACTTCATTATAGTTTGACATACAGTAAGATTCCACCATACAACAAAACTGTTTATTTTGCGGAACACGAAAACCTTTAAAAAAAAAAAGAAAAAAAAAAGTTTGAGATTTAAAAAGGGTCAAAGTGCTGTTTGATGACCATCTGACATCTTTCAACGAGAGCTCAGCTGATGGCTATAGGATTGTCATGATGGTTGCTTAAAAATCATCCTTATTTAATGCATCAGAATCCAAAAAACTCTCCCAAACTCTCCATATTCCAGACTTTGCATTATTTCTGCCTTTCCATTTCATTACCATCAATTGTTAGCATAGTCTAGACATGTGTCAACTGAGCCAGAAGGAAAACCTCTGTTTACAGAATACATTTCTTTGAATTAACAAGACGAATGGAGATAAATCAGCTTAGAAACGACTCTTCTATATAGGCTTTAAAACAGGATAAATCAGTACCACAAACATAATTGACAACCCAGAGCACTTTGGTTGAGTTTTTGGGTGCTTCATTACCATAGATTCTCCCAATCAAACAAAGTGTTTGTGTAAATGTGAGTAGAATATTACCCAACTTAATAAGAGTCTAAACCGAGATGAAATCGTGAAAGACGGACCATAATCACACAAGCATTAGCATGTCCATGATTATCATTTCAGTAGATTATTCATAGTAAAATGATGCTGTGGCAATAGGTCATTAAAAGGAGCCCTGTGAGCAAAGACTCTGTATAATAAGAATGTCTCGCTGATATCCAAGAAGAGAGGACAAAGACGGCCATCTGGGCCACTTCGATTTTCGAGCCTCAAAAGAAAATTAGCTTAAAACACCAGCACCCATCTTCTGTCTATTGAAAGCCAACAAGTCTGGTGGGTCCGCAGAGAACACCAGCTTCACTTTATTGTTTTAGCTGGAGCTGCTAGCTGGTGATGGAGTAGAGGACTGGCTGATAATACCGACAGACCCCGTACCAGATCCATTGCTGACCATTGATGCTTGTAGACCAAAGTTAGTGGTTCTCAGAGTGGCAAGATGTCTAGCAGAGAAGACATGATCACGTGCTGCGGCCCTGGATTCAAATTCAGCTCCACAGGCATCGCACTTGCCTATCAGAGTCTCACGGACTGTTGTCTGACCGATGTTGTATGATGGAGCGGGATCCACAACTGTCAGCTGTACAGGTTTGGGCAGGATGGGACGGTTGGCTCGAAGAGCATTGTACTGTAGGTAGCTACCAGAGCTGACATCGATCTTCTTAGAAGGGTCAGAGGGATTAGGAGACTGAGTGGAAAGGTAAGAAGAGATACAAACATTTAGGCAATGTAATTGAAAAGGGAGTCATCCTATTTGTAATATTATAACAGTTGCCACTTGTTTCAAGTATACCACCCAGCCTTCCAGGAGGTGGCAGAAATGTTCACCTGCTTCTAAGTATTCACCTAAAATGGTCCAGCTATTACAGCTGCTATGATTTTACGACTTTACGGTTAAGCAAAGCACTTAAAAAAAAAAAAACGTTCAGTGAGTCAATTGTACTTGTTTGCTGATACATTTAGGTACTTTATTACATGTTGAATTGACAATGCACGGGCAGTATATTAAATTTACACAACCAGATTAAATTATCTCCTTTGGTGTGGAAGAATGTAAATGGAGACAAATAAAAAAAATGACAGAAGTTTTATTTCCAGATTTTCATTTAAGTGATATCAACTACTGTTTACACCAAGCAACTCCTCTTCTTAAAAGTTTTTTTTTCAAATGAGAAAAAACATTTTTGTAATGTTAATTAAATTCATTACATTTGTAAATATTTTACCTTATCTTGTCTTCCACACAATATATATATATATATATATATATATATATATATATATATATATATATATATATATATATATATATATAGTTGATGATTTATAGGATCACTGTCCTACAGAGTTTAGCTCCTATCCTAATTAAACACGAGAATCACTTTACCAAAACACTAAAATTAAAACTTCAGACATGAAATCTGAGATCAACAGAGCAACTTCACAAAAATACAACAAAATGTCCTTACCATTTTCTCTTGCTGTAGCCTCCAGCGTTTCTCCTTGGCACGAGTATTTTGGAACCATATCTGCACAACCTTTAGTGGAAGCCCAAGCTCTGTTCCGACTGCCTCACACTCCAGTGCATTAGGATGAGCACACGTCTCATAGCAGGACTGCAGGATGGACAGCTGAAGACTGGTTAGGTGGGTTCGAGGTCGTCTTGGGGTGGAGTTCTGCTGCATGTAACTTATTTCTTTTTGGCTTTGACTAGGGGATGCCGTAACCGTCAGAGGGGATGGTGTAGTGGGGGTGGTAGTGGCTGTAGGCCGCTGTGAGCTGAGGCCTAACTGTTCTCTTGAGAGGGTGTTTATTTTGAACGGACCTTTCTGAGGCCAATATTTGAGCCCATTTTGTTTCTGAGAAGCCAAGGCAGCAGGCTTGTTAATTGGCGTAGTGGTCAATTTTGGCACCATAAGGTTTGTAGTTCCAGACTCAAGCCCTCCCTGGCAATGGTCATCCTCTTCATCAGTGTGTTCAGACTCTGCTTGTACCTCTTCAACCTTCCTTTTTGGAGCAGATCGAGATGTAGGAATTCCACTGACAAGCAGAGGAACAGCAACTGGGGTAGTCACTGTCTTAGGGGCTATTTTAACCATTGTAATTGGAGCTACTTCTGTTTTGATCTTTTGAATTAATGGACTGGTTGACACCACCGTGAATGAAGTAGTCTGATTTGGTCTACTTGGACCCTGATGAGGAGCTTTCAG